TTTCTTTGAAGCTGGATATCAAAACATCCTTTCAGAACTGTTTTTTTGCAAGTATGCATGCTTTTAAGATTTAGAAATGCTGCATAAAAACTTCCCAAGTAATTTGAATGAATACCATTTTTTAATAGATGCACCTACCTATTGATGCAATTAATTTTTGTTGCATATATAAAGTACTAAAATTAAGTACTTTAAACCAAAATCATGCCTTCAGGATAAAGAGTATTAAACTACGTATGTCAGGCAAAGATATGTTACTGAAGTTATTAAAAAAAATGTTGCTCTGATTTGTATAAGCATCCCAGTCTAATTATGGGAAAACACTGGTCCGCAGAGCTATTGAGATGCCTGATAAAGGGGAACTCCCAAGCATGTTTGAAACTCAATGAAATTTTCATCTCATTGGAATTAAATGCAAAATTCTCCCAATGTCGATAAAACCAAGATTTCTTCTGATAACGAACACTGGTATAAGTGAGCACAACTGGCAATGAATACTTACAGAGGTAAGGCATAATTTTTGATTTCCGTATCAGAACAGTGAGGTTCTGTAATTGTCCCCAGCTGGAGCAAAAGACCTAATGCTTCTAAACTGGAGCTCAGTCTGTTTAGGAAAAGGATCTATGACATAGCTATGATGGTGATGGATTGTGTTGATGATCCAGGAGGTCCCTGAGAGCTGTCCGATACCTGCACTGTAGTAGTGCAGATAACCTGTTTGAACGCAAAAGTGCAAGTTCGGGAGCACAGCCACAAGCACAGGTGCTGCAGACTGGCAGAAACATTACACTTAATTACACAAAACCAGAAAGGGATGACAACGTTTACCTTCTCCCTAGAGCCCCTTTTCCCAAAGAAGACCAGCCCCAGTCTTAAGGTGCACCACCAACAGCTGCATTGCAGATGCCCTGTGCTTTAAAGAATCACTGACAGCCTTCAATGCTCTGATTCTGTCACGCAGATCCACCGTGTTTCCACTGTGCTACTCTGCACTATGACAGTGGCTATTTACTGACCAACTGACAACCGTCTTACCTTCCTAATTTATCAACAATTTCTTAGACAAGCTGAAATGGTGAACGCACAAAACTAGTGCCATTAGATCAGTGGAATCAAATTGAAAAGATGAAAACAATCTGTCCTTAGATGTTTGCTTCTCTACACTACACACAGTTCTTAATATTAAACTTCAAAGCTCAGATGTAAGAGAAACCAAATAGTTTAGAGCCTGTTTAAAGTTCACCACAGCACTCAGGAAAGGACAAGAAAAAGTAGGGCTCTTCTAATGTTTCTGTACTGCATCCTCCCTCTTCCCCTGCCCTGCAAAAAAGATTGACAACACATCTTTTGATGTTTTGAATTCTTCATGGCTTTTTATAGCAACATAACACCAGAGCAGCTTATTTAAATTTTTGATTTATCATAAAAACCAAAGGAGTTTGGTACAAGAAATTTCAATAAAAGCTTTAACTTTTCACCAGCAATTTCAAACTCCGAATTAACATACTGGTAACTGTAAAGTGATTGTATTTTCATCTCCTGCAACGATTAACACAAGAATTATTCCTGGACTTTTTTTTTTTTTAAGATAAAATTACAGCAAAGTACCTGGTTATTGTAACCAGAAGAAGCTGCAGTTGAAAAGAAGGAGATAACATAGTGTTCAGACAGGTGACCAAGCAGCTTGAGCAAAAGCACATACTGAGAACAGAAGTAACTTAATAAAAGTGCATGAAAACATATTCCCCAATTACTTAGCTGGGACGAATACAGTAGAACTTCTTACCTTTCTCAAAATAAAATCACTTTTTTAACACTTTAAAGAAAAAGATGAAGGATCTAGATGACAGAGAGTAATCCAAGACTATTTGCACATTGAATTTAACATTTAGAGTAAACCAGACCAAAATCAATAGCAAAACTGCCATTGCTTTTAATGGATTAATGACTAGTAGTCCATTTCTTTCATAATTTGACTTATATCTATGTCCAAGTATATTAGCACACTTATGCAAATTAATACAAAGATCAAAAAGGTAAAAAAAGGGTTAGCATATAGTACTGTACTTTCATCAAAACACAGCTGTTAGTATGCACATGATGTCATATTTTAAATTAGTGCAGAAATATTGTTATTTGTGTTCTGGTTTACCAATTATAATTTTCACTTAACAAAAAAATCTTGATTGTGAGATAAGGTTTGAATGAGTTAAGGGAAGGATAAATACAAATACAGTAACAAATATCGCCATCAGACTAGGTTAAAAGGTAGCATACAGAAAAGCATAATCAAAGTTGACCCTTGAGATGATGTAAACCTATTCCAAAATCCCATAAATGCTAAAGAACACAGCCTTTCTTACTGTTCAGCGACTTTACAAACAATATTCATAACAATGTGCAATGAGTTGCAAGAATAAACTGTCCCGATTCCTTTCTGTCAGTCGATTATAGACATGCTGCTTGATCTATTGTCTTCTCTGAAAGATAAATAAAACGTGGTTTAAGAAAGGAACAACCACTGGGAGATGCAAATGCACTTGTACACGGCACCTGGGTGAGAACCAATGCAAGTAGCTCACAAAGTACTTTTCAGACAACAAACCATCACGGAATTTCATGAACCATGTAGCTAGCAGAAGAAAAGCTGCCGTTTTCACCAGACTTTGTAGATACTGATTTCTGTAACTCTAACCAGTCTTTTAATGTCACTTAGATATTGTTTATGGCTACTGATTCAGGGAAAAAAAAAAAGAAAAAAAGAAAAAAAGAAGTTAGTGATTTGAAGTATGTAAATGATCCCACTATTACAACGGTAAATCCTTAAATATATGCTTGAGTGCCAGAAATTAAAGTACAAATACACACAAACCACTTTTCTGACCTTGGGATGCTTGCAAATAGGACACGTTTTCTTAAAAACACTGCTTTTTCACTCACATCTCTATAAAAACCTAGTCCTTTCTTTCCACGTTCCCGAACTGTCCATTTCAGCTCAAGATATTCCGTACATGTGCTACACAATCAATTGATTTATCTTGCATTACTCAGGTTTTTTCCAGCACTCTATTTAGTAATCCACTTCTCCTAGGACTTATGCCCATATTCCAAACTGTAAAGTCATGATAAGCAGGTCTTAAATATTCTGTTAAGGTAAATTGCCAGAAAACTGTTTTTTTCTCTCTCTCAAAATACATAGATATGTATATAAAAAAATAGTAGGTAGATCAAACTTTGAATGTAAAAAAACCCCACCTTCACTATTGTCCTTTTAAAATAGGTAAAGGTAAGAGAAATACCTCATCTAGAAACTAAAAATAGCATGAGTAATTTCTATCCTCTTTTCAGATCTTGCTATTATTCCCCTGAAATATAGTGACCTTATTGGCTTTGCTTATGTAAGTGATAATAGATTGCCTAGTTGGAATTTTTCACTTAACACAAGCAATTTTGTGTGTATTTCTGCTCTCCTCTCCTTATTCAAGCTTTCACATACATCACCTCCCACACCAGAAAGCAGAAGAAAGGTTTCACTGCTACCCAGCCACACGAGCATTTCTACATGCTGGAGACGCGGGTTGCACCCAGTACCGAAGGCATACGCGAACTGCAGACAACAAGTTCTTGGACTTGTATGCACCGACAAATCTGCTCCCACCCGGCGGGCCGGGGTCAGGACTCCCCCTCACGCGGGGCAGCGGGGAACACGCCACGGCGCTGCACTGCAGAGCTGCGCAGCAGCCACGGCTGTGGCCCGGCTCCTCTCGCTGCTGCGCCCTTCGCACAAACCCATCCTGGGGGCCGAGGGCGATGGAGGTGTGCCATTATGGGCAGTTGCATCAAACCTGGGCGAAAGGCTGCTGCCATGTTCCCCCGCCCCACTAGCACAGGCACATTTACCTGCTCTCTCTCTCTTTTTTTTTTTTTTTTTTTTTTTTTTTTTTTACACCCAGTGCTCACAATGGGATCAATCAGGCAGGAAACACTCCTGTAACCACCGTCCTACATTCAGCTTCTCCCTCTCTTCCTTTGAGGGCTCAGTCCCAGTTTGTAAGACTCCCACTGGATTTTAAAGGAAATGATTCCAAAAGAGTCACAGTCCTCATGCATCTTCTCATGCCTTTGGGTACACATACCACGTTTCTGTGACATTAATAGGAACATCATGCAGGTACCCAAGTTATTCCTCAGTGATTTTCCATTTACTTGGAGTTACGTGAGAACAGCTATAGATGGTGCAAAGAAAACAAACACCGATTTCACCGAATCCAATACATGACTGCTTAAATTAAGGTGCCAAAAGACAGGAGACAAATGAAGTACCTGGACTAAACAGGAAAAGTACTAAAAAAGGGGCGGGGGGGAGAGATAAAAAAGAAAAGAGAAGGCTGTAGCTTACCTAATAGCCTATCATTAAACCATGTTCTCCAATTTCTTTGGGTTCTGGCCTTCACGATCCTTATTTTCACTTATTTCTAGTTTTGCAAATTTTTTTCTAATTTTTACAAATACTAAAATTAAAAATATCCCCTCTTTCAGAGCGTGCAACAACAGAAACCTGTGCATGGCAAACAAAACTTGTACGCAAGCTGTAAGACCTCAAAAGTGCCATTTGTGCTTTTCTTTTTTTAAATTGGATCACCAACAGTGTCGGTACCATCGACATCACATTTGAGGTTTTCAGGAGGTCAAGGACAAATGAACCCAGATGCAATCCAAAGACCGCTGCTGTGTATGTAATTCAACTCACCTTATTAACAATACCCTCAAAACAATCTCCAAGGAAGCGTTCGTGAAACCTTTGTCTATACAGTGAGATTTTGTCACACATTATTAAACATAACTAAATACGATCTCCTGTGATGTATGGAAAAATTTCTCAGCCAAAAGGCAAAAACTCAGAATAAGAGTACTTTCATTACGTTTGGGAAAATAAGTAAATGTTATGTTTGGGAAAACAAGTAAATGTTAGACATTGCGTGAAAGAAAAAGACTTCATTTATTTTAATATTGTATTTGATTTGAAAGTTTCAAGGACTGAAGACCAGAAAACCAAACTAAGTTTGGCTTTCCTAAATACATCTATATTCAGCATGGAAGCCATTAATTCTTAAGAGAAACCTGAAACGTCTTTTATCTTCTAGTTACTGCTGATAGCCTTTTCAGCTGCCAGCCCTTGTTTGGGTTTTGAGTAATCCCAAGGTCTCCTGTTCTCTGTGTACCCATACAGCTTCCGCAGCGCCACGCGGACAGCTTCTTCCTCTGCAGCAAGCAGCGTTTCGCCAGGACCTTCAGCGATAATCTTCTTATCACTGGAGGGAAAAAAAAAATAAAATGAAAAACATTTTCATTGTGAAATCCTGAGCACCACTGTGTATTATGAATAAGGGCTGCTCAATTTTTTTTTTCTCCAATGTCTGAATACTGAAGGCAATTTCCATATACACACACAAATGTAAACATTTTCGTTGGTCTTTTCTGCCAAGATAAGTGACTGTATATTCAACAATGGAAACTCAAATCAGAAATGCATCCATTTCCTGGAAGAGCACTACTCTGTTAATTTAGATTCCTAACATATCACTGATTCTTTACAGCGTTCAATTTGCCAGCCCTGTTAAAAATATGCAATTTCGTTACTCCGGTTAGCTTAAACAAAGAAGTGAAATGCTTCTGTCTGTTCTCCTCCTCTGGTAAGAAAGCATTCTAAACCTTTTTCAAAAGGATTCATGGAGAAGTTCTCTATGTTATGAAGAATGCCCTCAGCTCTGTTTAATCAACATCTACAGGCACTGAAGAGGAATAGTTTGTGAAGGGACACCAGGGATTCCAGAAGAAAAATAATCAAAGTTCCTTTTTTTATATAAGATAATAAATCTTAGAAGGCATATAAACCAAAGTATGATAATTCAGAACAAGAAAACCTTCCCATGTGTTCATCTGCAGATCATTTAGCAAAGCAACAATGACGTGAGTTTTGGTGGAAGAAGGTCCTGTCCGGCTCCAGAGGAGCAATGCTACCCCTGGGCAAGGGATCAGGACATGCACTGACCACATCCAAGACACACGTACCAGGGGTGACTGGCACTTCCAAAGTCTTGTCTGGAGAGAGACACTCCTCTTGTCTAGTCCACAGTGCCCCCGACTGAAAACTACAAAGCCTCTCTGGAACAGAACTCTCTCTTCAATCCCACCTCCCTTGACATCTGTGTCTCTTTAACCTTCCCTAAGCTGGATACAGCTGTGGTCCCTCCACAGCCATTCAGCTGTGCTATTCGCAAAGTTCCTGTCGGGTCACCCCAAACATACACCCAGTTAGACCTGGAAGGCCTTTAGTCAGAGACTGTCTTCTTAGGCATCATTACAGCAAGATACAGCCGATGCTTAAATGGCTGGTTTTACATGGAAGTCACTGTAAGGTGTCTTTCCTGTACTAACTCGACCAAAGTGCACTAGCAGAAAAGACCATCTTCCCTCCTCTCTCTCCCAGCTTCTATCAATTTCACCTTAAATTAAAATTGTACTAACCAGAACAACCCAACAAAGTACAGAGGCAGGACCGTGCTGACTCCCAGCTGCCTGGTAATTCTTGGTTCTGGAGAAGCGATATTCCTCTTGGTCAGTTCTTCCACTAATAAGCCCATAGGATTTACAACTTCCCAGATCTCAAACAGGTCTTTTCCAATCAGTTCAGGAATAAAAAAATCCTAAAGAAGAATATTTAGGAGTTACAATTAATGGGAAACGTAATGAAGGCTCCAGCTTCTGGTGTCTCCGAACAAAGACACAACCCGGAGAGCCATAAATACAGCTGACAACAAACTGCTGAATGAATGGTGAAACGGCCTCAGCGCTCCAGCACAGCCAAGTGGTGTGCTGTGCTCGGCAGCTCCGGTTCTGCCTTAGCCACTGACACAGCTCGTGTGCCTTGGGCAAAGCCAACCGCCCAGACGCGGGGCAGGGGGGGCACTGCCCTAGAGGGGAGTCACGCCAGGTGAGCAACTCCGTGCTGCTTCCAGGCACGAAGCTGCCCATCAGAAGAGTTCTGCGAACAGGCTGAAGGGAGCGTGCAAACCCACGGGACTTTCACCTTTTCGGATCACTCGCTCGCCTGTTAACTGCTGCTGGCTCTTACAGAGACCTCTCAACGGCCTTGTATCACAGATGAGATTTTAACAAACATTTCTCCACTGCAAAACTAGACGTAAGTGAGAAGGGTGACTGAAAGGGCAGTAGCTGCTAAAACCACTTTGTTACACTGCATTTTAATTGAATGTTTTTGTACAAAATATCTTTAGGCGCTTGCACTCTTACATGCAAAACCTATACACTCAGCCCCTGCTTTATACAAAATGCATTTTTTTAAAAATTGAAGATATATGTGATTGTACATGGAATAATTTCATTATTTGATAGTATAGACCATGGAATATAACACCTACCCTTAGCATGTGTCAGCAAATTCTAGAATAACACCATTATAAACCAGGACTATATGATTTTACCTACTTGACCAGCCTGTGCTTCTTAACGAAAAAAAAAAAAAAACAACCCACAAAACAAAAAACTCACAAGCCCAACTGTCCCCACACCCCAACCCGATCACCACCAACAACCAATAGACCTTGTTGTTAAATTGTCTTGTTACAGGTATTGTCAAACTTCTGCCAAACTCTCTGGATCTCTGGTCATCAAGGTACAAAACAGTATTTAAGTTTTTTGTCCTTTTTTTTTTTCCCCTGTAACTTCCAAGACCTTTAGATGTTATTGTTGCTGCTACAAAAACATGGTAAGTAATGCCTTACCCTGACAAAGATCCTTGTTCTCTCAGGCCCGCTGCTATCGAGCAAGGCTCCTATTACAGCAAAGAACGTCCTCTGCAGCACATCTGGCGGGACGGGAAACTCCCTGCACAGCGTCAGGTCCTGTACAGACAGGTTTCGAGCCACATAAGAAACAAGTTCCTGACTGGTAAGAAAATCAACAAGTGCTCCTATCCCCTTTGCAGGTAAATCTGGGTAGGCACCTTCAAAGCACTGCGTCAGGTAGGAACGTGAAAATGACATCCCTTGTTCAGCAAGTTTACTATTATCTTGTAGATTAAGAGCAACCGTTTCTTTGTCTAGCCCGAGGTCTCGGCGTCTTGCCTCTTCGCTTTCAATGTAACAAGAATTAACAAATGCAGTCTTGAGAAGATCCAAAGAAAAATTTTCATGCAGCCGGTGGCTAAAAGCTTGTATCTCTGCGTGGTAATCCCAGTTGGGCTTCTCTGACCTAGGCACGGAAAAGACAGCAAATTCAGCCAGAGAACGAGAGGTTACCCGCACGGCGAGCACCACGCGTTTCAGAGGATCGAAAGGAAATGAAAAACTGCTTTTGAAGACAAAACCCAGCGTTTAAAAACCCCACTGTCAGGCAGCGGCGGTTCGCGCACCGTTTGCCTGCCACAGGACGGGCCC